ATACTCCCAACGTCATAACCTGAAGGAGGAGTGATCAGCTGGAAGTGACCATGTGCACACACACACACACACACACACACACACACACACACACACGCACACACACACACACACACACACACACACACACACACACACACACACATGGAAGGAGTTAAAACACAAAGAGGGAGGAGGAGGAAAGGTAGAAAGAAAACAGTGGTTCTCCCTGGTGGAGAAGGTAAAGGATGGGTGGGGGGGTAGGGTTGGGGGGTCAGGTACCCGCAGGATCCAGTCAGGCCAGAGGAGACGGGAGGCAGGAGTGGAAGACCCCTGGCTCTTGCTCCTCCAGCAGGTGGGCTGCTCCCATGATTCCTTACTCTCTCCATGTTTAACGACCGCTTTGAGGAGTTTTGTGAGAAGTTGCTATGTGGTATAAGGTGGAAGTTTTGGAGATCGATGTGCTTTTATGATTGCTGATCATTTAGTTACACAATTAAACTCGAACCCCAAAAGAAAACAACATACAAGAAAACCCCCATAAAAACAAAAGTGATGTCACTTAAAAAGTGCTTCTCGGCAGAAGAGAGCTATTTACTAGACAAAAACATTATTTGATCGTGCTTATGCCTTAACCATGAAATGTAAAGTAAGATTTCAATAACCCCACAGATTAACATATCCCTTTGTTAATATCGCCTCTCAATTCCAATTCCTAATTGCTTGGCTTTCAGCTGAAATTCTGAGGAGCTGATTGCATTTCAAAAGGCAGGATTGAGTCTGGCTCTTAACACCGTGACGCAACGTCACCTCTCAGAGAAGCCCCCTTCAAAACTCAGGTACGGGGAGTTCAAGAGCCTGTTTACCCTGAAAAGGGAGAAGAGCTTTAGCACACGTGCTTGTCTTAAGAGGACGATTTGTCTTCACAGAACACAACAGTTCTGCCAAAACACCACTTCACATTTAAGCTATTTGTGTGGATTTTATTTATCTGTGACATGTCTGAACGTGTCCTTTCTGCGATTCTATTTGATGTGCCGACTATCAAAGATGGGAGGCAGGAAAATAAATGGTGACGCTCCACTTGAGTGCTAGGGAAGAGAGCAGGAGGAGAGGGGAGCAAAGGCTTTGGCCCACATAATATTTTTGTTCAGCGCTCTGATCAAGCAGTCGGTGTGTCATTGCAGCAAAGTGAATAGATTAACGTTTAAATATACGGTGGTCTCGGGAGCCTCCTGCCCTCTGAGGAAAGGAAAACTCATCAGCTACATCTTCTTTCTTATGCTTTTTGAAGGCAATGAGCAGGTTCTTGGTTACTGTGTTTTTAGCATTTTTGATTAGCTAAATCAAAAAATAGAAAGATTTAAAACATAACATGGTTGTAACTTTCTAGGTGTGCTTGTGCGTTGAAGCCTATTTTACATCGTTTATGGCGTAATGCTGTCTTCTACTCCATCTGCCTGGAGTTCTTGCACCACGTGTGTGTTATGATGCAGAGTTTGATGAAGATCTTTTGCCTAGAGGGGGCACTCTACATCTCCCAGAGGACAACAACAATTACGTGTAAACAGATTTCATCATGACAACACTGAGTGATGCCAGATAGGATTGATTGTACTACTTTTTGTTTGGCTTGACTCAGACACACAGATCAACTCCAATCTATCCGTTTCATGATGCTTTTCTGTTTATTTGTTCATGTTTTGTGTGGTTATTTGATTTTCTGGAGAGCCAGAGCTCTAGCAGCTTTTTAAAATTTTTTTTGGAGGGGTTCTGCTTGCTTTGGAATTTCAGAGGATTCCTAATCCATCATGGCACTGTCATCCCCACGTCTTCCCCTGCCTCCCCTTCCCTGCCCCGGCCTCACTACAGCTCATTAGCGCCCTGCAAGCTGTTGTGACAACTCATCATATCATGACATAAAGCAGAAAGACAGGGGTTACCCCCCCTACTCAGCCACCCACCGGGCCCACAAGGTCACCACCTTCACATTTAGGTCTCAAATTGGCCCGGCAAGGTGCCACCAGGCGTAATGCATGGCCAACAGCTTTTTCCTGTCCGGTCTCCACCTCTGTGTCTCCCTCCCTTTTGTCTTCTTCTGTCCTGCTGTCAGTTTTTCTCCTCGGCCTGCTTTTGTCCCTCCACCCCTCACTCTTCAGCGCCCTCAACTTGAGGCAGCTCATTTATCTGTCCTCTTCCAAAAGACTCCTTTTGGGGTTCGTTTTACGACGAAACTTTGGGAAACTGCTCGTGAATTTACCGAAACTGAAGAGGAAATCTATTCTAAGCCTATTTTTTTCTCAGCGAGCATGTGAAGAAGAGTAGAGGCAATATCAATAACATAACCAGAGGCAACAACCGCTGCAGCTAAAGTGTGTTGCATGGATTTCACAGTGCTGGCCCCTCTCAGCAACAGGCGCCGCCGTACGAGTCTTGGATGTGGAGGGAGTAAATGTGCTCATTGATGTTCATACAAGAGGGTGCCCTCAAATTTTTCTTAAGGGGGCTTCTGAATGCAGCGTGTTTTTTCTTTTTTTCTGAGGCTTGAAAATGCGGTCATCATGTCTACGAAGCCGTGTCTTCCACTGCGTCTGTTTGTTGTGAAGACGGAGGTGATGGGAAGGATGCGAGTCAGTGGGGGTGTAAGGGCAGGAGGTGTTCTTTTCTTTTCCCCTGGCTTTTGTGGAGAAGCTTCCCACGTTGCCTGCGTTTTTGTTTCCGTGCAGCTGATGGACCCAGCAGCCTGCCAGATGAGAAGTCTGGGGCTTTCATTGTCCCACACCGGCCACACGGGGCAATTGCTGCAGCTCCTTTCCACGAGGACCACCAGTTGCTGCCTTGATTTCAGCTGAAAACACAGTGGATGGTGGCGCGTCAGTGTGATGATCACATGCAGAGCGGACTGCAGACATCGTGGGTGTGTTTGACTGAAACGGATTTTTGAAAAATAAAGACCTTTACCGGAGTTTAATTTATCTACTTCCTCGACAGTAATACAGACTGGTTTTCAAAGAAAACTGGAGTTTGTGTTCCACCTCTGCTACTGTCTCCAGACTGAGCTGACTGGAGGCATCAGACGCTGATGTTTGCATCTCTCTCCCACCAAAGGGACTGATGTGAATCATCTGGCCTGCCTCTCTCAGTTCCCCTCTCTAAATGTGGACTCAGTGGATGGACGTTTCAGACTGTCCCCTGAATGGCTGTTGTCCCAGAACAAAAGAACTAATTTAAATGGCCACTAAAGCGTTTCAGCGCGGAGAAATGAAGAATCAACAACATTCTTTCACATCATTACCCGAGGGAGGAGCAGAGAGGAGGGAAGGAGGAGGTTAGGAGGTGCGGGATTTAGGGGGGGGATCTTCACACCAACTTTTGGTTGCCACCATGACCTCAATCACAATCAAACTTTTCTTTATTTTTCATCCCTCAGTTCTGGTATCGCAAACCAGATCTGGATACCAAATGTGTTTCTCAGTTTGTGTTTCTCTCTAAAGAAACCCCCCCTTTTTCACACACACACACACACACACACACTTCACCCCGACACACAAACCCCGTCCGACCCACCTCCCTCTCCTACTTCCATAGCCCTTTCAGCTCAGGGCTGTGAATGAGTCCCAGGAGTCTCTCAGCCTCCCTGGAGTTCTGCTGGGGTTCATTAATCTTTCATTGGGACCACGGCAATAGGGAATGTCCCCCCTCGGCTCCGCTCTCTTTCTTCCACACACACACACACCCAGCTTCCCCCATTACTACCACTGCTGTGAACGAGGTCTGGATGGCCATGCTTGTTCCAACTGTGGAGATAGACGGCCTTGACCACCCGGTGAAAACACAGCTCTGAATGGACTGTTGGTGTTTCAGACCCTTAATGGACTCCAGTCACAACCAGTCTGGGCTGAGAATGGTTAGTTTGCAGCATTAAACCCAGCTTGCATTTGTCTTGCCCTGGGCCTGCAGCTTTGCATTTGTATTGTCAATGAGCGTGGGGCAACTGTGCATCTTAAGCGTGCAGCCCCCCTGCCAACAGCTAGACCCATTAATGTTTTTCAAAGTCTTTTGGAAATGTGCCACAGTAGAGCCTTCGTTCCCTTTTTTTTCTTGCATGGTATAAAGTCACTAATGAGGGTGTGTGGCCCGTGTGAGAGGAGACCAAACACACATGCACAAGCAGCTTGGTGTCTTACTCCTCTCCCCCCCCCCCCCCCCCCCCCCCCTCCTGAACATATCATCCATGTTATGATAAGCCTGATTAGTGCTGCTTCTTTGACTGCCGAGGGCAGGATAAGGATGTGTGGGTAAAGAGGCGAGAGCAGCCTCAGCTACCAGCCTAATCTGGTTATCTCGTGTTCAGGGACTGTGTGTATTAGTCCCTGTCCCAGCCTGTCCCGATGAGAGGACCTGAGCTGTGGTTAACACGAGGGCCCTTGGCAGCACACCCCTAAAGCTCCCCTGTAATCTACTGGTAATTGAAAAAAGGGGGGCTCTGCACCACTTAGGAGCATAAAAAAAGAAGATTACATAGCTAAAACTAATTTGGTAAAAATGCAGAAATGGATTTCCACTACTTAGCCCTTTATTACAGTAGTCCTATACCCTCCATGGCTTGGGCCCTGGGGGAATAGATGTGGGTAAGGGGGGGGGGGGGGGGGGGGGGGGGGGGCAGTGGGAGCTGCAAATGGCCGTAGATTTACACGTGCTGCCTTGATTTTGTGGTTTACAGATGATCGATTGCTTCACTGCAACTGAGGTTTAGAATCAAACTTCAAACCCAAGTGCGACCTGAAAACCCCACAAACCTCTCAGATTGTGTTACCGAATTCCCGTGTGATGCCGCAGAAGTGTTTCTAATTACAAACCTTGATATTTATGCTGTGGTTTGGTGGCTTGGCACCTCGAGGATACTCAGAATTTAAGAGCTCCTCTTTTTGAGAACTTTCGAGCTGCAACTCTTTAGCAGGCGCCTTGAGTCTCAGACCAAAACATTAAACCCTATTTCTTTGCATCTTTCTCTCTGACAGTCTAATAAGGTTCCAGTGGTACAGCACCCGCACCATGTGCACCCTCTCACGCCTCTGATCACCTACAGCAATGAGCACTTCACACCAGGGAACCCACCACCTCACCTACAGACAGACGTGGATCCCAAAACAGGTAAAACCCAACGCACTTTCCCATCCGTCAGTGTTTGGCACCTGATGTAGATGCTCAGGTAGCAGCAGTTGTCTGATAGCGACCAACACCCCATCAGGGCTTGGCACAATGGGTTTGAAAATGACTAAAAAGTCTCTAAGCTGATTCTCCAGAGGAAAATACAAAGAAATCATAGTTTTCACCAAAAGTCCTTGCAGGATAAATTCATGAATGCAAATTTTATTGTGAAAAATAATTTTTAATCTGAAAACAGAAACCTCCGTAGCTTGGGCTCTGGGGGAATAGATTTTCACGATTTTCTCGTGAATCCCAGAATTCACAAACGTTCTCAAACTCCCATCAGCACAAATGCAGTTGCTAAACACAAGGCGACCACTGAAGAGGAAGCTCTTTGGCCTGCTAAAGCTCCGTAAAGAACACAGATCAGGTTTGACGCAAGCTTTCATTAATCAAACCATTCAGCAACCTGTTGATTCTGCAGATCCAGGTCGAACAGTCAGATTTGACTTGGTACAAGCTCCTCCCACTAACACTTACAGACACATTTTTAGTTAATGTCGTTCATTTCTGTAAGCATCTTGACCCAGCACTTAGTTTTGTTAACTGTCATTCAGCCCATTCTTTTGGGGTTAATGTGTTTTCAGTTTGGTGAATTATTCTGTGCTTTCTCTGTGGTCTCTGGTGGATTCAGGCAGTGTTTTAGGTAATAATGTTCCCTTATTATGATGGCCCTTACAAAAGGGGAAATAATGTGCCAGCTGCTGTTTAATGTAGTGCATAATGGGGGCTGCTTAATTGGGCACAGTGTTTAATTAATTAATGAGTTATATTAGGTATTGAGCGCAGCTTGGCAATGGGATAATGTTCCCTGGGTTTTTCGTTTCCTTTTTTTTTTTTTTTTTTTTTTTTTTTTAGAAAATGGTATTCCAGGAAAGCTTGAGTACAAAAATCCTACATAGATCCATCTGGTGCTGCCTTGTTGGCCACACCTGTAACAACTGGAGTACAGAAATAACGCCCAGCTTCCCTCCCCGCTCTGCTTTCACACAATCCGTGTGTTCCTCGTTTCAAGCTCGTCTTGAGAGAGAGAGAGGAAGTTATTTTTACACCCGGCTCTGTTCAGGACCTTTTTCAAGGCGTTCGTTCGGGGCAGCTCGTTGATGCCGTTTCTTCGCCTGTCAGCTGCAGCAGAAAGTAGAGGCGCCGCTCTGGGTGCTGCGGTCGCTCGCTGATCTGTCCCTAAATTAGACTTCATTGTCACTGTTTGTCAGCGGGGAACACAAACACAATCCGCTGATGCCTTTACGTCAAACCTGGGGATTATTCGAATGAACAGAATCAGCTGACCCACATATATGAAGCTTGTGATGGTTTGTAAACTTCTGCTAACGAGTGTTTCACGTATACGTCAGGTAGCCAAGGAAAGTCAGCCGGCAGACTGGGTGCTATCCCGTTATTGGCAGCGCTCTGATCACAGGGACAGCTTTTTAATTAAAACGCTTTGTTTTTCCCCCACTTCTAAACCTCAGTCATTTTATATCATTAATCTGCAGATTTGCCAGACAAACGTGACAAGAATCATGTCGGTGTGTTCTCCTCACTCTTCTACCCTCTGCCTCTTCCAACACATTGTGCCGCCTCAAAGGCCTTTGATCAGGAAGTGTGATTTAGCACCGCGTACATGCGTGCAACAAGCCCTCCTCCTCCTCCTCTTCCACCCATCTGCACTCCTGTGATGTCTGCCCCATTCAGATGGGAAACTCAACAAAAAAATGATTTCTGTCTCTGTCCACTTCCTCTTCTGCTCCTTCCACAGGAATTCCGAGGCCTCCTCACCCGCCAGATATATCTCCTTATTACCCGTTGTCACCTGGCACTGTCGGCCAGATCCCCCATCCGCTAGGATGGTTAGTACCACAGTAAGCAACCTTTTTTTATTATTATTATTCCTCCATTTATATTCTCTTGTGAGCACTGTGTCTAGCATGTATATGATGCATGAAAACATCTGCACTAGAGCGGGTCGCCTCATTGGAAGCCACGTCCTGGACCAGAACCGAGGCGTTCTTATCCGAGCCTCCTTTTGCTATTTTGTGGCAAATACCATTTCACATGTCTGTGTTCGGTTCAATTAGAGTAATGAACTGTGATTGCTTGTATTTTACCCACAATTCCTCATAGGGACTCTCCCCTGGTAACTCTTGTCAACACTTGTTAATATGACAAAAGGCTACAAATTAAGCTCTGTTAATTTAATGTTTTCTCGCCGCGATCTAAATACCGAGAGAGGCCCTGAGCGCAGTCACGGCGCCCTTTGATTTGCTGCACTTTATTTTGGTATAAATTTACATTCATTATTGTTTGTCTTTGGATGTGTAGACCTCAATTAGCGTGATGGCTCCATTAAAGGGACCCGCGCTTCGTCTTTAATTATCACAACAAAACACCTAGTTCCAGCTCTGGGAGGAACGGGGCTCCACTTCGTCGACACAGAGCGAAGGGTTATGAAATTTAATTAGCCATCGCTATCAAGATTTGTGGCATTTAAATTGTTCAGAGTTTTCCTCCCTTTGATCTGCGCTCTGCAATCCCCTAGATTTTTGTCCTGATCAAATGAGAATAAAGAGGCCCACGGTGGGGAGAAGTGAGAGACAGAGGGCTTTGGCTCCTTCTCTTCCGTCAACCTTGTTCTCTTACCTTTTCTTCTTTCTTCTTTCTTCCTCTTCGTAGGCAAGGTCAACCTGTTTATCCAATCACAACAGGGGGGTTTAGACACCCCTACCCAACTGCGCTCACTGTCAACGCATCCATGTCAAGGTGAGTTGAGCCTAAAACATTAAAAACACACACACACACACACACACACACACACCCTTCCTCCTCACTCATTCTGGTTGGGGTTTGTCTGACACTGTTGGCGAGCAGAAACTTCTCCCTTAAGGAGAGCTTGCATTCCCCATCCGTGCGTTCAAAAGGCCAATCCTCCAGCGTAGGAGCTCCAGCTAGCATGCTCAAATATTAATTATATTTATCATTTCCTAATGAGGCCCCTGAAGAACATTTACCCCCACTGCATGTCAGGCGGTTCTGAAATGAGCCGGGGCGCGTCCTCGCTGAGAGTCTGAGCAGCCAAACTGATAAACAAACGGCGGCACTTTGAAGGTGACAAGATGATGTAAGCCGACACTTGGCTGGTGCTTTGGTCCAGCCCATTAGGGTCTAGTTCAAGTGCTGCTGTGGACGTTAGTGCCCCCTTGGGGGTGCAGTGTGTGCGTGTTGGTCAGTTTTGTCTCTTATTGTTCCCTTGAGGAACACGTGTCCCTTATATAGTCCAGGATGGGATCGTAATTAACTTCGGGTGCCTGAAGGCCAGTGGTTTTTGAGTCTGGGGCAAGTCAAAAAAGCTATGCGCACACACACACGCACACACACACACACACACACACACAAAACAAACCTCTCACTCTTTGCCTTCCTCCCTCCCCCTACATGCCCCTGCAGCAGGGGACTCCACCATAGAGCTTAGGGATGAAGCCGAGCTGTAATTTAATTACAGCCTGATTGGGAAAGCAGATCCTCAGGGCATCCTTTTTGGACCTCTGTGACAGTGATGGATCATGTATGCATGGAGGCACCAGTTGGGGGATGAATATGTATATTTTCTCCAAATTGCAGCTCTGAAAACGAGCAACGCTGACTCAGTTCATGTCCTCCGAAACAAGGTGCTTTTCCTGAATGGTTCTTTGCGATCGGAGATGCGTGTTCTGTCCAGACGTTGGCATCTGGCAGCTGCTCCCAGCCAACCGGAGCTTTAAGCGGCTGCTAATTTGGCCCCTTAATGACAGTGTCTACCATGTGATCATCTTGTTTCCAGTGCAGCTAATTGAATATATGGGCTGGGTTGTTTGGGAGGGTGTGTGAGGGGGACTGACCATGGGGAAGAGCTAATGCCCTGTGATGAGGACCCTAATTGAATTAGTATAACTGAATACATGGAGCGCTCTGGGAGATCTCCAGAGAATGGGAGGGGTTTTAGCACGTCGCCCCACCCTCAAACGACCAGGCTAGTGTAGAAAATGTGAGCTGCTGACAAAAATCCACTAACTGTTGGTCTAATTGTATCAGCAGCATAGCAGGCTCCTTTCATACATAGCCTTCAGCTAGTTGGGTGTGTTCAAAGGCAGGACCAGACTGTTGTGATGGCTCTGGCGATTCTTCAGCTGACTGACTGGACGAAATCTCTCAGAAAAAGACATCCAGGTCTTGTACTCCTTGTTAGGAGTTAGGTCTTCACAACGGGCCTCGTATGTCCGTCCCCTGTGCAGTAACCAAATCAGGGATCAACGCTGCCAACTCACCGCCCCTCTATGAGCACCTTACCACCTATTAAAAAATGCATTCCTGGATAAAAGCAGAGGGGGAAAAGAGCAAAGGTACGTGGAGAAAAGCAAATGAGAGACATTATTTTGATAACGGGGTTGGAGATGGTGCAAGTTCCCTGCACCGTGTGTGTACGTGGGACAGGTGGGTGGATGTGGAGGCCATTTTGCCCCTTCTGCTGAAGCCTGGCCTTTGATATGTTCTCCTGTCATGCTGCTCCCTCTCCTTCCTTGGGAATGGGGAGAACTGCAACGGCCAGATCATTATACATTAAACAAGCGCGGGGGCTACTGCTTCGCACGGGCAATTAAATGGCGCTGGCTGATGCTGGGCTTGCTGTGCCAGTGACCCATTCCCATAACACCCCCCCCCCCCCCCCCCAGCCTCTTTACTCCACCCCGCCAGCCATTCTTACCTTTCAGATTGAGACTTAGAAGCCCCAGGGTGGGCAGGTAGGTGGGGGTCTCCTCTGCTTCCACCGCTCTGTGTTGCCTAAATTGGTCCGAGCCGACGCTCGCTTGCTGATGAGCCCGATGATGATGATAATGCCCCGACGCTTCAAAGGGATGGCCGTCATGTTTTAACCATAACCCGGGCCACGCTGTGGCAGCAGGACGAGGGGAGGGACAGTGAGGAGAAAGCGGAGAAGGGTGGAGGTGACGAGGGGACAAGGAGGAGTAGAGAAGAAGAAGAAGAAAAAAATGGATCTTGGAACAGAGGAAATTTTAACAAGTGTACAGAGAGAGAAGGAGGGAGGGTGAACGGGGAGAAAGGAAATGGAGCGAGTGAAGAAAATGCTGCCTTAATGATGGGCGATATGTAGCCACTGCCGCCGAGCTCCCCATCAACGGATGACATGGCACAAACACCAGTGTGTCAGTGATGAAGGGAGAAGAGGGGAAAGGAGAAAAAGAGGAAAAGAGTTTGAGGGGGGAGCGCTGGTACTCCCCTGAGATGGCCTCCAACTGAAACTAGTTGTTCCTGGCGAGTTTATCCTCATCATTATATTCTGGCTCGGAGCCATGCAGCCAGACACAGCCGGATAATGAGCTGCTTTAACAAAAAAAGAATGATTCCTTCTTTTTTTCCCCTTCTCCTTCATCCTTCTCTCTTCTCTTAAATTTGTGTGTGGTCACATGGAACCAGTGCCTTTAAACATACACATATGTGTTCAGATAATTAGTCTCACACACACACACACGCTGCTCTGGTCAGAGAAATCATCCCTTAAATGAGGGGTTCTGGCCTCGGTGATTGGAACAGTTAAAGATTACGAAACAATGATGGGAGTGAAGAGTTGTGAGGATAAAAATGTCAGTGATGCTGACGGTGCTGAAGTTGCAGAAACGAGTGGAAGGATGCAAACAGGAGTGATAGCTCCACAGTTTCACCTGCTTAGCCATAGTTCTAGATAAGAAAGAGCCGCTATATCGATCTAGAATCAGGACTGCGGCGTCGCCAATGTCTTCGTTTGGAACTTAAACATCATTAAAGGACAAAAACGTTACATCCATGTTGCTTGTAATCATCCCGAGAGCTTTATTCAACACAACGCCAAAGAAAACACACCTGATTGAAGATTTTATTGTGTATTTGTTGTACTTGTGTTTAATTTTGATAGATGTGGTGATTATTCTTGTGTCTTGTACCTGTGTAAGCCATCCAGGCTCGACTTCTGTGTCATGATGAACACAGAAGTCAAGCCTTGGACATTTTTCCTGTTTGCATGTGCAAACGTGTTTACGTGTGTTTGCTGTTGGGACTAAATGCTGATTCCATTTCTGTTAACGACTAAACTGTATTCTGATGTAGAAAAGAAAAATGGAATCTTGTTCTAGCTGCTAGGTCTTGTTGTTTGTGCTCCATCTTCTCATTTCACCCGTGTCCATTCTGACGATTTACACAGTCTTCTGTCCTCCAGGTTCCCCCCACACATGGTGCCCCCCCACCACAGTTTGCACACCACGGGCATCCCTCACCCGGCCATCGTCACACCCAACGTCAAGCAGGAATCCTCCCACAGCGACATAAGCTCTCTCAACAGCTCGTGAGTTAACCTTCTTAACTTGGGTCATTTTTCATTTGTTTTTGTAGTTTTGGGGGGGGCATCCTGCTCATCTCGCTGCCTTCTGTCCCACCTTAAAAAACACAGGAAACAGTCGGATGCGAAAAAGGAGGAGGAGAAGAAGAAGCAGGTCCACATAAAGAAGCCTCTGAATGCCTTCATGCTCTACATGAAGGAGATGAGGGCTAAGGTGGTGGCCGAGTGCACGCTGAAAGAAAGCGCTGCCATCAACCAGATCCTAGGGCGAAGGGTAAGTCTGAGATGCTGTCAGACGTTTGGTTTAGTTCTGGTCCAAACCTGATGGGATTCTGATTAAACGCCTGAGCTGCTTGTCATCTCACAGTGGCACGCCCTATCGCGGGAGGAGCAAGCCAAGTACTACGAGCTGGCCAGGAAAGAACGACAGCTCCACATGCAGCTTTACCCCGGCTGGTCAGCACGAGACAACTATGTAAGTTTTTAGGTTTACAAGTTCTAACAGCCTGTTCTTCCACCCTTTCACTGGTCTCAGGCGTACAGGTGGTCCAAAGTGGCAGATCCGTCTGAAACGTGCCTCTGAGCCTTCATCAGAACTCACCTTTTCACTGAACCAGTTAGTGCTGTGTCTCATACGGCACGGATGAATGCAGATTAGAACAGAAGTAGCTCGGAGACTCGCGTCAAGTCAAACAAGCCGATACTGTGTTGTCGTTTTTCCACATGGATAGCTGAACCTTCACCAAACTTCTGTGTTCTACAGAGCTGCCTTCTGCAGGCATGTTTGGGTGTTTTTGCTGCTAAATCAAAGCAGCATCAGTAACTGAAATTCAGGTCCACTTTATTTATGTGGTGGAGTTTCCTGTGGGGCTGGAGGTGAGATGTTCTAGTGAACTTGAGTACTTGGTTGATAAATGTTAACTTGTTTTTGCATCCTGTAACATTTTTACATGAGTGAGTTTTATTCATTTTAGTCTGCGGTCAGAAAACGGATCCATGAAATGTACGTCTTTGGCTCTGAACAAGAGGATGCACCATCCTTTTTACACATTTCAAACTTTTCTCACAACCTTGTTGTTTTGATTTAGTTATTAAACAATTTACAGACATACTAGGCTACTTTTTCATATTGTAAAATCATTTTCTTGAGCAGTATGTGCTAAAACAAGGTTACAAGGTTAATGAAGTCACTCAGACCCCCCACTGCTCTCTGTGGCAAGAATACTGCATTCCGAACTTCAGAGTGACAGGTCGCTTTGCTGGGAAAATTGGAGCTGACATAGCTGGCGCTGCAGTCTAGTTCCACCATGTTTCCTGCATGTTTTAGATCATAAGCACATCTGATTTGTTTTCTTCAGTGATGACCCTCTCCTGTAGAAACTAATGAAGGCTGGGGAGATGTTTCAGCTGTTAGATTAAGGTGGTAAAAAGACGAACGCACAGCAAGTTTCATTTTCGGTATGACCACAGAGAATTAATAACAAACACTAGGGGGTACCAAAAGCAAGCAAAACTGTGAAGTGTGCCATTAACTAAAATGGAACCAGTAAAAACTAGAGGTGCTTCCATTTTGGTTTTAAGGGGGAGGACAGAGTTCCCTTTTGTGCACAGATCTTAACTTCAAAAATCAATTTTGATCAGTCCTGAATAATTTTTAAAAGCTATAAATTGTTTTTCTTTTGTTTGTTTCTGATTAAGATGTTCCATCCGAGAGATTAGAGATGGTGGGTTCACAAACTGGGAAATTATAGCATTTTTTTTTATTGCTGCTTGGTAATGGTACATTCAGGGATTGAAAACAAAATCTGATTTTTGAATTGCCTGATCGTCAGTTGAGTCAGTCATGCTGAACAATGGCTGATTCCAACCACCCAACAATGATTGGTTCACCTTGAGTAAATTCTGATGTCCATGCAACTCCTGTGGTTTCATACATCAGCATCACCCTCACAGTTCCCTTTTTGCTAACCAACTCAGACTGAAATGGATCAGTGAGGCAGTATTCCGTTTTATTTTATGGACGCATGAGTCGTTGGTCAGTGTTCTAGCTAGACCCATTTCATTGGTGATCGACAACTGTGAACAATTTTTTTTACTGTGATGTAGGCATGGATGGTCTGATGGTATTAATGATGGAAAAACTCAAATCTGTTAAAGATTTACCAAACGTTTTGGCTTTCTGCTAACATTTCCGTAGCAAGGCATATGTTACCAAATGTTGCTTGGTTGAACCAAACAAACATGGCTAAAAGGTTTAAGGAACAACAAATATATAATGATAATACAAATAGCTTCAACCCATAATGCACTACTTTTGCCTTTTCATTTAATGTTTTTTTTAATTTGCATAATTATAATAAAAATGCTCTCTAAGTTACATCTTTTAAAGCTTTATTTGAGTTTTGGAGATTATTTAAAACCTAAACCTGATGTTCTGTGACCTACAGTGGGGTCCTCAACCCAGCCTTTGATCTCAAATGATTTATAGGATACACCATATCTGTTCAAGTCTGTACAAAACTGTTATGTGGCCTAAAAGCTTCATGTTTTTATGTTTTTACTAGGAAAACTGTTTGGTTGCACAGTTTACACTATTTAGAAACCTTGAAGAAAAAATTCAGCATAAATCATAATAAAAATGGAATCTGACTGGTAATCGGTAATGAACTCTGTTATATTTGCAATTTATCCATATTAGAACACATTAATTTGTTTGACCTTAAAGTTCTTTGATAAAGATCAGCTTCAAGCTTCAGAAAAATCGTAAACCAGAATTAGCAAAGAAAACTAAAATCGCTACGTTTAGTTTAAATCAGACGTACGGTATCGACAGTCACTAACTACATTAGTTTAAATCAGACGAGGTTTTCTATTTGAATACCCTTTTAACCCTCCCACTGTCCTAATGGGTGTGACCCCGCGAGGAAAGTTGACCATTGAGCAGGATTGATGGTTTATCCCTTGAGGTCCACGTGGCAGGGGTGAGGTGGTGCTCACTCCTTACCCCTTCCACGTGGACCCAAGGGATAAACCATCAACCCTGCTCAATGGTCAACTTTCCTCGCGGGGTCACACCCATTAGGACAGTGGGAGGGTTATAGCTGTGTTTTTGTATTTAACGGAGATGGTTTGTGCATCCTGAGCATTTTGCTGTGATCCATAAGAGCCAGATTTTCAGATTTGTTCAGTTCTTAGATGAAGCTGACCACAGGAGTCCTCCGTGAGTAGCCTCAGAGAAATCATTCTTGTAAAGCAGAAGTGTGTCGAGGTGTCTGCGTGTTCACAGAAGAAAAAGATTACAGAGAAAAGAAGAGCAGAGAAAGAGACCGAAAACAGAGAGAGGAGGGAGTATTGTTGTCTGGCCTGCAGTGGCTGTTACAAACCGGAGGGCAAACACAGGAGAGGAGAGAAAAGCACAAGGCAGAGAAAGAATGAATGAATGAATGAATAAATAAGTAAACACAAAGATGAGTCCTATTCTCTGTTTCATGTTTGGGGCATTCTTGCAATATAATAACTAAGGTTCCTGTCTGTGTCTATTCTTTTTTTTTTCTTTCTATATTTTTGGCGGCTAACCAACAGGGGAAAAGGAAGAAGAGAAAAAGGGAAAAGCAGCAAGCAGAGAGCAATGGTAAGTGAGCTGCAATTATCTCTCATATTAGAAGAGTCCCATCATGTGTCAGGCAGATGTGACATGTTACAAGATAAAAGTCGAGCTCGTTTTTCTTTCTTTTTTCTTTTTTTTATTGTGCCTGGCTTCTTTCCCTCATTTCTTGGTATAGTCATGTTACCAAATGCAGTGTTTAAATGGTAGCATTGCTTGTTCACCCCCAGCTCTCCCTAGCTAATATTAACTGAATATGCATGACCCCCCACAGTCCCCCTCTGCCCTGGCTCTTAGCCTCCTGGTATTTTGATACGTGTTTTTAAGAAGTTGAAGCATTGTGAGATCCATTAACTTTGACTGTGTGTGTGTGTGCCCCATATTGTATTGCCTGTTCCCTGCAGATCGCCTTCAGTACTGTACTTTGTGCATGTGACTGTGTGTGTGTGCGCGCGTGCGTGCATGTGTGTGTGTGTGTGTTGTTGCTTGCTTCCATGCATGCTTTATTAAAACCAAATCACTCACATCTTAAAATTAAGGAGGTTTGCTTGATTCTGTGATTTATTTGGTTTATTTTTCCATCCCTACTCTGATCATCATGTCAGGAGCTGTGCCGACCTGTTTGTGTATTTTTACGCTCGTTCTGGTGACGGATTTCTTCTTGAAGGCCTCTATCTGTTCTTTTTTTTTTCAGAACACAGAGAATATTTTCCAAACCCTTGCCTTTCACTCCCTCCGATTACAGGTGCTAATGTCATTTTGAGTATTAAATCACTAACTGTTTATCTCATTGACTTTCTTCTCTTTTTATTTGTAATACTGTATGTGCAGTATGGGACAGGTTTAAACTGAAACCTTTTATGCTCCTTTTGCTTTGTTTGCTGCTTCCCCTTTCTTAAAACGTCGCTGTTGTCCATCCGACTCTACAGCTAGACTACGTTTCTCTTTACTTTCGGCTAAATCTAGACGCAATGTGCATGAGGGACTGAGGAAATACAGATTATGGTGAAGTAAAAGGTGCAACGTCAGGTTAAACCTCCTTAATCTGTAAGCTATGGTAGCTGCGCTTGTGCCTGTAGGCCTGCATGAGTCTGGCCCTGATTTTTAAACAAAAACAAACGCCTCTACTCCAATGAAACCTGGATTCAAACACCTCGTCCTGCTCCATGTTTCTGATAGTAACACAAATCAGACCGAGTGGAGGTGTTTGATGCCAGGATCCCTCTTCGGGTCTTTAATCCTCCCCCCAGCTAGGACTAAATCCTGCTGCTAGTTCTGCCACAGCATAGTGGACCGATAGCATCTAACAGCAAATTAATCCTGCATTTGCTCCTTTTATATCCTCTCAACCAAATCCTGCTCCTCTGAGTTTAGATCACGTGATCTGATTTATCTGCATGCATTTTGATTGGACTAATTTCTACAGTAAAAAAGGTTTTGAGGGAATTTCTTTCTTCATAGATTCACTGTGACCTTGTTTTATTTTTAAATATTCTTCGATATTTATCTTGATTTCCTTATTTCACTGGTTCTAATCCTCCTCTTTGCTGGCTTCCCTTCCTTGTTGCGGCGTCAGACCTGAGCGCTCCTAAGAAGTGTCGAGCGCGCTTTGGGCTTGACCAACAGAATAACTGGTGTGGCCCGTGCAGGTGTGTATGGTGTGTGCTTGCACTGGCCAGGGCCAGGTGAAGGCTGGGTATACAAATCTGTACGCTGGGACTTCCTCCTCTCCTGTCCTCCGCTCTGTGCTGCTTCCCTTCCTCCTCGCCTCCTTCCCTTGTCTGTCCCGCCAGGCCGTCGTGACCTCTCAGCTTCCTCGAGCCACGCCCTGCCGGTCTGTCTCTGGGTTTTCGCTCACTGATTTGAACTTCTTGTTCTGGGGTGGGGGAGAAGTGCATTAACAGCAAATTGTGGAGTGTTAGTGGGAGTGGATGGTGTATTTGTGTGAGTGAGGATAAATCTGCGGGGGTTTCATTTGCAGGACGCAACAGTAAGTTCTGAACTGGCAGGTCGGGGCTCGGAGTATCTGGAGTCTGATGGCTTGGCTAATCTGGAGGTTATCCTAGTGTTTGCCAGCCTACATCTAAGCCCTAGCCACTTTGTTTTTGTCTGTGCAATGACGTGTACATTTTCTTTGTTTTTTTTTTCTTTCTTTTTTTTTGTCTGTTTCTGTTTTTCTTTTTTTTCTCGTCTCTCTGTGTGTTTGTGTCTTCCTCTTTGGCTAACAGATGCAAATACCCCAAAGAAGTGTCGTGCCTTGTTCGGGCTTGACCAGCTGAGTTTATGGTGCAAACCATGCAGGTATAAAACTGCTGTAGTACCAATCAGAGGAAAGACATCCACACTTTTGTTTGATTTCTCCTGTGATCATTGGCTCTCAATGTCTTACTGAAACCCGCCTCCATCGGTGTGCTGACGGGTGAAAAACTACTTTTCTTCCTCACTGCTCCTCTAAATTCCTGCTCTTTTCCTCGTTGAACTCAGTTCAAGCCCTGTGGCAGAAAATGGATTTCAAAATCAAACTTTTCCAGATGTAAAATCTAAATTTCCTCATGGATATATTCGAAAATGTCCTTCCTGAAATCCATTTTTTGTCCAAACGTCTGATAATTCCCACCCATTTTTGATGTCATGTATGTCCTAATTGGCTAGTGTAATGCTTACAAATTTAGCCCTGCTTCCTCTGAGGGCCTATTCAGTGACACTCTTTTCTATGCCCTCTTCCTCCTCCTTCTCCACCTCTTCTTCCTCTTCAATAACCCTTACTTAGTCCCTACCTGTTGTCTTTCTGTTCTGACACAAGCAGTCTTTGAATTGGGAATATTTTCATGGTAGGTATTTGTTTCTGCTAAATAAACCCCTTCTCTGTGTCTGCACCCATCACATTTCTGCTCTTTCATCTGCATCGTTTTATCCAAGCGTGCTCCCGGTTGGGCTCGGGATCGAATTTTCAGAGTTCAGTTTTTGTTAGACGGATCCCAGTTTTCATTCTAACCCAGACAGGATCAAAACAGAGATTTTTTTTCTTGCAGAACAGCCGTTATCATGAGATCAAAAGGCTGAAAAGTGCTGTAATTCCACCAGAGAGGTTAAAAGTTCTCTATGGGCTCCGTTTCCTAAAAGATGCATCTGGTGAAATCTCCCCTGAGAAGGAGAATCAATAGCATACACCGGCACATACTATAAATCAATATGTCTGTTAAAAAATGGATATTGGCTCATTTGTAGCAGTTTGACGGACAGTTATGGAGACCGTGATGAGTGCGTAGCGGCAGAACGGTTTTAGATTCCCGGTCGATGCTGTGCGACGTCCTGAGCTTGCAGTACCTGTGCAGGCTGCACTTTAAAAGCCCATCTTCACCACTTTCCTGCTCCTCATCAGAAACGCATGCCTGTCTCTCACCCAGCATGTGGTCAAGTGGGAAAATTCTCATCCCTGCTCCTTCTCATCCTCTGCATATATGCTCTCTGCATTTATGACCAAGAACCGCAGGTTTTCTGTTGTTTACTGCGTCGTCCCGGTAAGGCTCTAATGCCCCGTGGCCTCTGGCTTGGCTCTGATAAAACTAAAGGAAAGGGTTGGGAAGGGGGGGGTGGAGGTCACAGGCAGGGTCATAGCAAAGATGAGGGAAGCTGAGATCTCCCTCCTCGACCAAATCTGAACACAGTCACCACAGATAACTCCTCCTCATTCCCTTGTTTCATTCATCGCTCTCCAACGGGCCTGACCCTAGGACTCAGCATGCAGCGGTGGTGGGATGGGGGGCTCGAGGCAGAGATGTAAACATGATGCCTTGACCCCTCACACAAACGTACACTTGTGTCCGAGGGGCAGATCCAGGCTAGTGGGGATATCCGTGGCTTCACATCCAGACTTCTGGGAAGAGGAGGGTGGTGGAGGTAAAAGAACGAGGCAGGACTAGATCATTTTAGAAGAAAGGAGTTTAAATTCAGAGAGCAAGCATCACTTCTTATCTTTTGTCATCATCTCTGTGTGTGTGTGTGTGTGCACTTTTCATTCCTCTCCTGCTTCCTGTTCAGATGCTTCACCTCTGATCTTTCCGTAATGTCTGTCCCGGTCTGACGGCTTAGCGTCTCTTTCCTTCCAGCACCAGATATACACTTAAATGCACCTCATTCGTCATGATTCATGTTTTGTTGATTCCTAAAGATAAAGGTGTATTTAAGTTGTAATCGGTGCCAGAAGGCCACCAAGTTTAAAGATCTGATGCTAAAAGATCCTCTGTTTTTTTTTCTCGCCTTGTTCCTCAGGAGAAAAAAAAAGTGCATTCGCTACATCCAAGGTGAAGGCAGCTGCGCCAGTCCTCCCTCTACGGACGGAAGCTTACTAGACTCCCCCCCATCCTCCCCTTCCTCCGTGGCTCCCTCCCCTTCCTCAAAAGAGTCCAAACCTCAGACTGAACAAATGCAACCTCTCTCACTGACTATGAAACCGGCCCACCAGTCACTCCATCCCCCTCACCTCCTGGCTGGGCCTCCACCACCATCGGTCACGGCCGGCAAAACGCCCGGCGCCTCCTCCCACAATGGAGCCCTGGAACACAGTGACGTCTCGTCCTCACGGCAACCGGGCTCCTCGATGGCACGGCCTTCGTCATCGCTGTGTCACTCCCACTCGCTCCTCCCCTCTACGGCCCCCCAGCCTCTGTCGCTAGTGACCAAGTCTATAGAATAGTCTTCTCCTGTTTTTTAGCTTCACACACACACACACACACCTTTTAAGGTCCTCTCTTTGCTATATCGTTCACTAGCCATTTGTTGTGTTCTCTTTGCGTTTCTGTGCCGCGAGGCTTTGAAATTTTAGCTTTTGTTTTATTAAAGTTCATTGGTCAATATTTGACCCCTCATTATTGAAAAAAGTCTAATAATTATAAAGAAATGATACAAGGAGCTGTAGTATAGCTTTGTGAATCTGCCAAAATTTTTATGAATTATTTTGTTTTTATTTGTTGAACAGTGCAAACAGAAAAAGCTTATCTAGATCCACTTGGAAATGTTTAAAAAACGGATATAAAAAGGTAGATTATTCAGTGAGCCCTTATTTCCCTTGAAAGAGTTGGTTCTCCTTCTTTATTTGTATTAAATACGAGCTCGCGAACCAATCATTCAACATCCATTTGAACTCTTGGAGGGCACGAGGCTGTACGGCAACACCTCTGAGGAACAAACTTTTATCTTGTGATGTTACTTGGTTGTTTAAATGTACAGAATATCGGGGGTGGGGGGTGGGGGTGGGGGTGTTAATGTGTTAAATATGCATTCTTCCACTGCGTTGTCTTTATTTTATTTTAATTTTTGTTTTCTTTGTTGTTTACCTTTGGGGGCGGAGTCAGGCAAGTTTGGGCGAGCTTGAGGGAGGGGTTGGGTGGGAGGGTTTGAGGAATAAAAATTCAAAAATGTCACAACGCTAGGACCAGTAGTATTTATTGCTTTAGAGATTGCTCGTTGTATCTTGTATGTGTCTCTTTTTTTCCCTCTTGATACATTGTACAAATATTTTTTCTTAAACGACTATATGAAATGATCCATTTTTACTAAAGCGAACCTTTTCTTATTGATTTCTTACTTTTTTCCTTTTTCTTTCCCTCGCTTAAACACCCGGATTCCACTCGGTGTACCATGTAGATCTCATGAACAGAAGTATGCACAACTTCATTTCAAGGAATGCGTCTAAAAGCCATTTTACAAAAAGGAAAAGAAAAGAAAACTTGAAACCAGGCAGTGGGTACCGCGTCTTCAGTAGGTGGAAAAGTGTCTAAAGCCCTTCTTTTTTATTGCACAGTCACATCGCTCGGACTGTAGATTCGTGTACAGATTTTCCGTGCCAAATTTTGTGATAATTTTCTGCCCCATCTCCCTTCTAAAAAGGTAAAAAAAAATAATTAAAAAAACAAACAAAAAAAACACCCCCACCATGCTGTAGGGATCTTTTTTGTTTTGTTGTTGTTTGTTTTTTCTTTTCTTTTGATACCATTCTTTGCTGTGACGTTACATAGATTGCTATGTATGTAGTATAAATGTTGCTATAACAAATGTGTTTGGTAGCAAATTGTCAAATATTAAAATTTAAACTTAATAAAAAGACGGACATCATACTGTATAAACCCACAAGGGCCAAATTATGTATATTAGGAGGTTCATAAAAAAACTTATTAAATACAAAAAAATACACAAACTGCCACTTTTAAGTACACTACTACATATAGGTAGATAGAAAAAATAGGCATGTTGATGTTGCAAAAGGCTGTAAAAAAGCTACAAGAGAATCATCCACTCGGTGCCATTGTAGTTGACATGACACGACTGTAATCTGTCGATTTCTTCTCTGGTTTATTAAGATGCTAATGATAAATAGTTTGAATGTTTCCTTAACGGCTGTGATGTTCCTGTTCTATTTTATGCTCTTATCTTTTTCGTTTGTTTGTTTTTTCCTGTTATTTTAAATGGTTCTAAAACCATGTTTTTGTAATGAATAAATGATTATGCTGTACAGTCTCTGTAGCATGCAGTTCTGTATTAATAAAAGCAACTTAGTATGTGCAAAACTCTGGGAATGTTCTTTATTAATGGGCAGAGGCTTGATCGCTGAACTTGTATCTATTTAATTTGTCTATTGTTGTTCAATGAGTAGAAGCTACTCTGAATACCCCTCCTCCCTACCCCCATTCAACAATAGACAGCTACAGCTTATAAGCTTGACTCTCCCATTTTGCAGTCAGAATTGACAAAGCTCTTCGGATGAGAGGTGAAATGTCTTCAAGAAACAAAAGAAGTCCAGTTGCCATAATTTAAACCATTTTGGATTACCATGACCTGAATGACTTGAGAACTTTCACCAGTGCTTTAATTTATGAGTTGAATGGGATTAATCACTTTGTTTAGAAAACCAAGTTCAGTTCCACCTGATCACTACCAGACCTGATCATTTCCAGGGGCCTCATTTATCAAGCTTGCTTATGCACAAAACGGGGTTGGTAAAACTGCGTAAGCAACTTTCCACCCAAACTTTGGGATTTATGAAAGAAAACTTAGCGGAAAAATGTGCGCAACTTTAAGCTGACTAAGGACCTTGCTTACACACATTTCGGGCATGGAGAGCACCTGCAGTGCTGCTGCTGAGAAGGATAAAATTATGAAAACCTGCAGCATTATCACTTGTGCTGCTTCGTTTTCACACAGAACAAGACCCTCCACATGCACACACACACAGCCTAAAGCGCAGAATATGAAATGCAGGATATCAGCAGGGGGACAGATTGAGACAGAATGTCACGCGTCTGTGACAGTGAGTGCGTTTACATGCAGCCAGTAACCCTTTTAAAACCTGAATATTCACAATTACCCGGTTCCGCACGGCCATGTAAACACCGCCAAAAACCCGGATATGCTCATAACCGGGTTTTTAAAAACCCGGTTACTACACCTGGGGTAACCCTTTTCTAACCCGAATGTTTGGTCGTGTAAACGCATATCGGGATATCCCCATCAAAGCGTGTGTTCTGCGCATGCTCTGTTCGCAAGGAATCTTGGTCTTTTGAGTAGCGAGACGTCTTGTATGCGCCAGAACACCGGAAGTAAACAAGTTGGGAGCAACATGGCGAGTCGCGGCACAGCACCACACTTTTGGAGTGACGAGGAAACCTCTGTCTTCATCGGTCTGGTGAAAAGTATGAACATTATGTCTTTTGTTGACGGCCGAAAGTACAGAGACAGCGAAATATACAAGAAGGTAACCGCATATTGCGTCTTGACGTAGTCCATACGTCCTGACGCTACCCCAGCGTCCGCATTTAAATCGGGTTATGCAAGTTGGGGGTAACTCTTTCTATTTATGCTTGTAAACGGTTTATTCTGATCAACTCAGAAACCCGAATACCGACCTTAACCCGATCATAACCTGGATATTGTCTGCATGTAAACGTAGTCAGTGTGTGTCCTGTCATTGTGACCCGATTGATCATGCGCCCTGCCTACTTGGACAAGAGATCTCTGTTTGGGTGACTGGTTAGCGTGTGTAATTTTCACGCGGGAGTTTGGGGATCGAATCCTGTTTGGACCATTTTTTTTCATATCCGCCACAGATCTCTCTGAAGAATTCACAACATTGACGGCTTCAGCAACGCTGTGCCACTCCATGGATTTTCTCTTATTTGTTTTGCAAAAGCACTTCCTTTCATTTCTCCACCTCACCCACAGGTACCTGAATTTCTGCTTCTGTGAAATTGCGCTTCCTTGATCTGCCTTGATCTACGGTCGCCATCGTCATTGGCGGAGCGCTGCAACAGCCGGCTTATGTATATGCATGAGATCCACAAGGCACTTTGCATTGACTATTTATGGCAGTAAGTGGGTGTGGTCGTTAGTTTCCAATTTATGAATTATATAATTATGCGGAGATTGCGTGCAGTTGTGCATACTCTATGTTTGATAGATCACAAACCTACTTGGCGTAAGTACTTTTTTTTTGCTGAGCTTATGTACAGTTTTAGTAAAGATTCTACGCAATGTTTCATAAATGAAACCCCTGATAACTACTGGACATGATCACTACCAGATCTGATCACTACTAGACCCAATCACTACCAGACCTGATCACTACAAGACCTGAACAGAATGTGTGACTACATGAATTAGGCTAAAATATCTCAAAAACCAACATACTGTGCCCTGTTAAAGAAATTCAACATCACTAAGTGCTACATGCCTCACTTGGTTAAGGTCAGAAGTCATGATTTAACAATAGGAGAGTAAAAAAAATCATGGGAGAGTTCTAAAAGCCAAAACTTCATAAAGGCCCGTAGTAAATATCCTATTTGATGAGAGATAAACTTTATTGTATTTATCCTAGTGGATCTATAATTAAACGGATAAACTAGTAGTAGCACATCCAACGTCAAGGAAAGGATTAGATGCATCCTTTCCAGGAGTGATGCTGAATAACTAGTTCATGCATTTATTACATCAAGACTAGATTATTGTAAATCATTACTCTCAAGAAGTCCACAGAATGTAGTTAAAAGTCTTCAGCTTGTCCAAAATGCTGCAGCTAGAGTTCTGATGAGAATTAAAAGGAGAGATCATATCTCTCCTGTCTTAGCTTCCCTATATTGGCTGCCTGTTAAATTCAGAATAGATTTTAAGATCCTCCTTCTCACATACACTCAACAAAAATATAAATGCAACACCTTTGTTTCTGCTCCGATTTTTCATGAGATGGGCTTAAAGGTCTAAAATTCATTCCAGATACACAATATTACCATTTATCTCAAACATTGTTCACAAATCAGTCTAAATTTGTGATCGTGAGCACTAATGCTTTGCTGATATAATCCGTCCCACCTCACAGGTGTGCCACATCAAGATGCTGATCTGACATGAGTAGTGCACAGGTGTACTTTATACTGCCCACAATAAAAGGCCACCCTGGAATGTGCAGTTTTGTCTCACAGCAAAATGCCACAGATGCCACAAGCATTGAGGGAACGTGTAATTGGCATGTTGACAGCAGGAATGTCAACCACATCTGTTGCTCATGCATTGAATGTTCATTTCTCCACCATAAGCCATCCCCAAAGGTGTTTCAGAGAATATGGCAGTACATCCAACCGGTCTCACAACCGCAGACAACGTGTAACCACGCCAGCCCAGGACCTCCACATCCGGCAGGTTCACCTCCAAGATTGTCTGAGACCAGCCACTCAGACAGCTGCTGAAACAATTGGTTTTCATAACCAAACAATTTCTCCACACACTGTCAGAAACTGTCTTAGGGAAGCTCAACTGCATGCTCGTCATCCTCATCGGGGTCTTGACCTGACTCAAGCTTGTCGCCGTAACAAACTTGAGTGGGCAAATGCTCACATTTGATTGCGTCTGGCACGTTGGAGAGGTGTTCTCTTCACGGATGAATCTCGGTTTACATTGTTCAGGGCAGATGGCAGACAGCGTGTGTGGCATCGTGTGGGTGAGCGTTTTGCTGATGTCAATGTTGTGGATCAAGTGGCCCATGGTGGTGGTGGGGTTATGGTATGGGCAGGCATCTGTTATGGACGAAGAATACAGGTGCATTTTATTGATGGCATTTTGAATGCACAGAGAAACCGTGATGAGATCCTGAGGCCCATTGTTGTACTCTACATCCATGAGCATCACCTCATGTTTCAGCAAGATAATGCACGGCCCCATGTTGCAAGGATCTGTACACAATTCTTGGAAGCTGAAAATATCCCAGTTCTTGCATGGCCAGCATACTCACCGGACATGTCACCCGTTGAGCATGTTTGGGATGTGATTGACTGGCGACAGCATGTTCCAGTTCAAACTAATATCCAACAACTTCGCACAGCCATTGAACAGGAGTGAACCAACATTCCACAGGTCACAATAGGCAATCTGATAAACACGATGCGAAGATGTGTTGCATTGCATGAGGCTGCATGGTGGCACAGTGGTTAGCACTGTTGCCTCGCAACACGAAGGTCGCAGGTTCGAAACTCGGCTGCGGCCTTTCTGCGTGGAGTTGCGTGTTCTCCCCATGCATGCGTGGGTTTTCTCCGGGTACTCCGGTTTTCCCCCACAGATCACAACATGCCCTATAGGTTAAAAAAAATAAATAAAATTGTAAGTCGCTTTGGGTAAAAGCGTCTGCTAAGCACATAAACATAAACATAACAAATGGTGGTCACACCAGATACTGACTGGTTCTGAGTCCCCATACCCCCAATAAACCAAAAAAACTGCACATTCCAGGGTGGCATTTTATTGTGGGCAGTATAAGGTACACCTGTGCAAAACTCATGATCTCAGATCAGCATCTTGATGTGGCACACCTGTGAGGTGGGATGGATTATCTCAGCAAAGCACAGGTGCTCACTATCACACATTTAGACTGATTTGTGAACAATGTTTGAGAGAAATGGTAATATTGTGTATCTGGAATGAATTTTGGATCTTTAAGTCAATCTCATGAAAAATCGGAGCAGAAACAAAGGTGTTGCGTTTATATATTTTTTAAGTGTATAAAACTGTTAATAATCAAACTCCATCATACATCAGTGACCTGATTGTTTCATACATTCTTAACCGAGCACTTCACTTTCAGACTGCAGGTTTACTCGTGGTTCCCAGAGTATCTAAAAATAGGATGGGAGGCGGATCTTTTAGTTATCAGGCTCCTCTGTTGTGGAACCAACTCCCAGCTTTAGTCTGTGAGGCAGACACCTTGTCTACTTTTAAGACTAGGCTTAAACATTTTTATTTGATAGGGCCTATGGTTAAAATCTGATGTTAGCCTAGATCTGGACAAGTGGGGGAGTAGAGGGAGGTGTAGTGTACAGTCGGTAAAGATGACTCTCCCTTGCCCTGCCTCCAACATGCCTCCATCTAAAAGGCTAGGTTATCCAGAGTTATTTCTGTAGTTATGCTGCTATAGGCTTAGACTGCTGGAGGACACAGTGATCACTTTCCACACTCTACTACTTTCTTCTACAATCTGTTCTTTAACTGTATTATTTCCTGCAGTTTCAGCTGTTAACTTTATTTTTTC